TTCAGGAAAGTATGTATATATTGAAATATAATATTGCAAATGTTTATAGAATATAATTTAAATTTCTGTTAATATATCTCTAGTCATGATAATTCTGTATTGCGATCAGCAAGTTTTCATGGAACTGGTGCTGCTCTTTCACTAGCTAATGAATGGTCTGACAACGAAATAAATATTGTTCAGAATGATAATCAAGTACCTCCACCATGTAGCCCACAATTGGTAAATGTATATAAATAAATTTTTGTAAAATTTATATTTATTGTTTAATTTTTTATATATAGGAAAGTGATAGTGATATAGAAACATCATATTATTTACAAACAACACAAAATGTAATGTCAGCTATGTCAGCTCGTATTACAGTTTGTCATTCACCTTTAGTAGACTCAGATAATGATAGTGATGAAGACACTAGTCATAGTTTACATAAAAATATGTCAAAAACATTACATCAACCTAGTGATACAGAGAGCAGCGATGATCGTCATCCTAATGCACAGAGTGCTCTTTCAAATACTAAATATAATCGAGCATTTAGGTAAAAATTTATGAATATAATTAATGAATAATATCATTATGTATATTTTAAGTATTTATTTGCAGTTTACGCAGAGCAAGATTAGACATACAATCAACAAAAGTACCAGGAAGTATAAATAAGAATAAATCAATTATACAAGATACTCGAAAATCTGATTCTGTTACAAGTATTAGTAGAACTGATTCTGGACGTTTTAGTATGAGATCAAGCAGAACTGCAAATACTGTATTTATTTTTTATATTATATTATATTTTATATTATATTTTATTATAAAAGATAATTTTTATATTTTTTATATTTTTAAAAATATTTTTTGCAGGGATCTAAAATAAAACCAAAAGAAACAAAAAAACCTGCAACACCAAATACAAGAGAGGTTGAAATGCAAAATTGGAAACGTCGTAAAAGTTATGATCCTATGAAAGCAGCAATGGAAGGAAGAAGAAAAGCAGGTTTGGCAAAGAAAAATACGAATGCCAATCTTTCTCCAAGGTAAATATTTATTTATATAGATTAAATTAAAAATCATCTAAAACATGTTATTATTTAGTTAATTTAAAAATAATTATTTCACTGTTGGTAGGACTGATAGCGATCGATAATCTAATGATAGAGACCATCGATACAAGCAAGTGGTACGAAAATGACTTGTTTGATTTTGCGATATAGATTTTTTTAAGAGGTATATCAAAAAATGTAATGTTTACTGTTTTTTTTCTTTTTTTTTTTTTACGGCCTCTTAAGAAAATTTTATCGCAGCAATGCTGCTTTTTGATATTATTTATTGTTTATATTAATCTATCGCCAATGCACTATTAATCAGTGAATACTATGGATATAATTGAATACAAGAATTACATAAAATATATCATTTTTATTATGTATAATGTTTTAAAATTATATAATAAATATAATATATATTAATATTTTAATGTTAGTAATGTTTCAATTATAAAATCCATATTATTTATTATATATAATATATAATATATATATATNTATAGGATAGTTAGAAAATAAGACAATATATACTTATTTTATAATAAGTGCAAATTATAAATTTCAGTCTAGTTTGTTGTGGCTTATTAATGCAATATACAGCTAGATTTATGTCTTATTTATTAATTTGTTTTATTTGCATGATCAAAGAAAGAACCAAGCATATTTTTGTCTTTGCACAATATATAAATTTACTTCAAAATGATTAAAATAGAAAAAAAAATAGAAAACTGAAAATTTTATTTAATGGAATAACTTTATTAGAAATTTTTATGAATACATAAATAAAATTAAGGTCTTTTTATATCAGAATCTTATTTTATATAGATTTAAAAGGCACTAGCATGTTAAAATATTGTTATATATTACATAATATACTTTACTGGTTCTTTCTTGATATATTATAATAGATAGAAATAATATTTGTTTTGTTTTTAGTAATGTTGCAAGATCACGCAGTTTCCATGGTTCATCAGGATTTGGAAATAGTGATTGGAGTGATGAAGAATTAGCTATATCTGCAGATGAAGTTACAATTTATTAAAGGTCAACTTATTAACAATATTATAAATGAACCTAATTATAAAAACTTTAATTATATTAATGTATATAAAGACTAAGAAAAGAGATTGATTCTCATACAAGATTGCTCCATGAATAGTTCTATATAAAATTAAAACTGAGGAAAATGTTAAAAAATCTTTTCTATATTAAAAGATTCTATTTTTTGCAACTTTTAACATTAAGAATCTATAGATCTATATGGCTGTCAGTACTGTTCTAAGTTAAAGTATTAATATTCAACAAAATTGATGCATATTTGCATAAAATTTATGTTTAAACATTTTCATATTTTATTTTATTATTTTTTTTTCTTTTGTCATGATATAAATTCTGATTATACATATTAAATATATAATACTTTCAAAAAATAAATACTATATGAATGAAAAATAAATGTGCTAAAATCTTTTGTGGTTGGAAAATATCATAATTCCAATGCTAGGCCTAAAAATAATAAATATATAATAGAAAAAAATAATATATGTAATTGGACCAATAATGATATAAAAATATTAATTTTCTCATATCTTAATAATTATTATGTTAACTATGTTTTATTGTATTATGTGTATTATTGATTTCTAAACTTAATTTTTAATGATAGTGTGTGCTCTCTAGTTTATTTTAATTAATTATTCTTTATATGTTATTGGAATCAGCATATATTATTACAGATATTACTTAAATTATTAATTTCTAATAAATAAAAAATTATATGTTCTGCTTGATATAAAATAGACAAAAACTTCCATATATTATAAAATAATATATATGGGCTCTTCATGTTTCTGCAAAAATATTGGTACATATAAGAAAAAAAATATTATTTGCTCTCAAAAGGTGCAATGAATCATTATTTGCAATTATTTTTTATATTAAGTAATTTAACACTTGATGTGATCATAATATGCTTTAAAGTAGTAATATATTAAAGTATTATGTTTTATTTTTTACTGACTAGTATAATGAAACATACTTATTAAATTATGTACATATTATGAAATTATTTGGATTATTAAAAAAAAACTTGCATTCTCGCTTAATAAAATTAATGCGATCAATGCATTGATATCGATCTGTATAATCTAGAAACGATCTTAAGCTCATTATATATATATATATGATATACATGAATATATATATATATTGATAATATCAATTAAAAAATTTGTAATATGTATTTATTCAAAGTTTATATTACTTATTTGTGCAGCTTGTTACTTTGTTATAAATTTATTAGCTATTTCAAATTTTGATGATATTCATATTTAAATTAGTTTATGTACTTTACTTAGTTATAATTAATTATATCATATTTTTTACTGTATAATTTTTTTAAATATATTATTTATTTCTAATCTAAAAATTTATAAATTATTAAAAAATATCAATATTTTGAAAAACTTAAAATTATTTTGATTTTTTAATAATTACAAATTGTTTTTATAAAAATTATGCAGTAAAATATAATAGGATAAATTTTATGTTATATTTAAAACAAAAAGATTATTGTTCAGTAGAATGTAATATTTATTTCTATTAAAAATTCATTTTCATAATTTCATGAATAATAATTATATATTTGCACATTATTACTATTGTTATTATTATTGTTATTATTATTATTATTATTATTACTATTAATATTATTATTATTATAAAATGCACTTTTTTTGTTATATAATCTTTGTTTTATTTTATTAATCTAATAATCTTTTAATAATCTAACAAGGTGCTAGTTAATATATTTGTCTCATTTAGTTTTCAATATCTCAGTTATTTATTCAATTACAAAATATTATATTATATTTCATAATGAAAACAAATATGAAATATGATGTATAATTTAATTGTATCAAAATCTTTCTCATATAAACCTACATATATATGATGATTAAGATCTTTAATATGATAAAATCTTTCGAGAATGATGCAAAATAATTTTTATGTTGTAAAATTATATGTTTGTATTATATAAATTTTTAAGATCATGTTACTATAAATATTTATAATGATGCATGTGCATAGTATCATTATCTTATTTTAAAAATATCTTCTTCCATGTTCTTTTAAATAAAAGTGGGCTTCCATAGTGAAGATCATTGTTATTTTAAAATTTCTTATCTATTATTCTTTATATAAAATTAATAATCTTTTTCCTATTATTTGTTTTATAATTTAATGATATAACTTGTAATTTAAAATATGGAATATTTTAACTTGATATAAATATATAAATAATAAATATTAGAAAAATAATATATTTATTAATTTATTTACAAAAAGTTTTTTAAATATTTTTTTTAAAGAGATTATCATTAATAATTGACATAATTAAAAATTTTTAAAGTGCAAAATAAAGACTTAAAAAAAAAAAAAGATTTTTAGAAATAATTTATTAAATTAATTTTGTGAAAACAAAATTATATATTTTTTTAAAAAATCTTTATTTCAAATTATTATTTAAAGTAATAAAAGTAATATTTTAATTTAGAAGACAAAAAATTTGTATTTTTTAATTTTGTTATTTAACAATTAATTTTATTCAGATAATGTCTTGTTTGAAGTATAATGAATTAATGCTAATATTACTAGTAATTATTACTAATATTGCTAATATTACTAGTAATTTACTAGTTACGAGTTCACGTGGTCAATTAAAGTTTAAAACTGTGTGTGAAATATTTTGTTTCGTATTTTAAATTAATTTTTATATGTGTCAATATATATATATTAAAAAATATAATTATATGAAAATAAAATTAATTAAAAAAAAATAAATATGAAAATATCTTATAAGGTAATTATTTATAAAGAAAAGTTTCATTACATTTACATAACCTTAAAAATCTATATATATAAACTTTTTAGGCAAATATAAATGATTTTTTGAATCATTCTAATAATTTTATGCTTGAAAATAATAATCATTCTGAAAATGAAAACAATGAAATTGATAGAAATAATTATAGGGATAAAGAAAATGAAGAAAAAGAAAAAATTAAAAAAAATGGTCACTTAATATCTAATAAAAAAAGAACGAAAATTATTGATGATTCTATTGATATTTCATTAAAAAAAAAAAGAAAATTAGATAAAAATTTATATAAACCACCAACAGTAGAAGAACTAAATCAACTTAGAGAAACAGAAAATTTATTTCATTCCAACTTATTTAGATTGCAGATAGAAGAAATGTTAAATGAAATTAAAGTTAAAGAAAAATATAAACGTTTATTTGATATTTGGTTTAAAAATTTTAAGAAAAATATTGAATCCATAAAAGAAACAAAAGAATATAAAGTAATTAAATTTATTTAATTAAAATATTAAAAATTATAATAAAAATTTTATATATTATTTTATGATTATATAGATTTCAGATCAAGAATTGAAAAACAAATTAAATATGCATATTCCAATGCCAAAGGTACCAGAGGAAACAAAAGGAATATTTAAATTTCTTAAGCCATCGGATATTGCTATTATAGGATCTTATATGTTTGATGCTGCAATTAGTCCAAATTTCACTGTAGATATAATGATTGAAATGCCAGCCAAAATGTTTCAAAAACAAGACTATCAAAATTATAGATATATGAAAAAAAAAGCAATATATTTGGCATTCATAGCATTTAATATTACTGATGATATTGCTGAAAGCAAAACATTTATGAATGATAGTTTAAGACCATTTTTAAAAATTGTACCAAATGGAAAATTAGGCACTAAAATGAATGTATTTATACATATATCAGCTCAAGAAGGAAGTTTTAAATTAAGTAGATTTTTACCAGAAAAAAATAATGTTAGATCTGAATGGTTTTTTAATGAGGAAAAAAGTAATATGTCTTTTTGTTTTTTTTTTTTATTTATATTATATATATTTTATATATATATTATTTTTGTAATGATAGTTACAGAAGATTTACTTCCAACACCATATTACAATTCTATTATTCTTCATGATTTAACTATGAAAATTCATGCAGAAAATATGAAAATAATAAAAGAATATCCAAATTTAAGAGATGGCATTATTTTATTGAAGATATGGTTGATTCAACGTGGATTATCAAAAGGTTGTACAGCTTTTAATGGATATGTAATAACAATGTTTATTCTGTATTTATTATCCATAAAAAAGTTAAACACATTTATGAGTAGTTATCAAATAATAAGGAATGCATGGAATTATTTAGGTATGATATTTTGTATACATACATACATACATATATATATATATATTAGAAGGAATAAAAAAGATTTAATATTTTCATTGTTATTATTAATTGATATTGCTTATTTTATTAGTACAAGTTGATTGGTGTGAATCTGGAGTAACTGTGAATCAAAATGAAGATAGTAAAAATAGAATTTTTAGCTATCATAAATATTATGACTGTGTATTTTTGGATAGCACTGGTTATTATAATATTACTACACATATATTTAAATCTACATATAAATGGATACAAAAAGAAGCACAACTTTCTTTAAATCATTTGGATAGTGCACATGCAAATAGTTTTCAATCACTTTTTATGAGAAAAGTACCATTTTATATGGCATTTGATCATTTTATATGGTAATTATTTTTATAAATTAAAAAATATTTTAATTAATTAAATGATAAACTTAACAAATGTATAGGTTTGAGGATCCACAAATATTAAAAAATATAGTAAGTGCTAATTCAAGTAATAAGGATAAATTAAATTATGGTCCAAATTATCGAATCCAAATAATAAAAATACTTTACAATATTTTTGAAAAAGGATTGGCAAATAGAATCCATCAAATTTGTATTTTACCAAAAGAAATTTCAGAATGGGAATTTACAGAGGATAATTGCGACAATATTGGGAAGATTTTTTTTGGATTGGAATTAAATCCAGAACACTGTTTTAATATTGTTACTAAAGGCCCTGAAGCAAATTTACCAGAAGTATGTAAACAATTTAAGTATGATTATAGATTGTTAATATTTTTTAATATTATATTTTATTATTATATTTATAGGCAATTGAATTTCGAAAATTTTGGAACAAAAAATCAGAATTACGACGATTTCAAGATGGAACTATTCGAGAAGCAGTAATTTGGTCAAAAGGCAAAACATTATCAGGAAAAAGAATAATATGTAAAAAAATTATAAGTTTTTTATTAACAAAAAAATTAGGTTTTCCTAAAAATAAATTTACATACATTGCTGATCAAATAGAGGAACTTATAAAATTGCAAAAGGTAAGAATTTATAGTAAATTTTAATCTTATAAATAAATTAAATATTTTACAATATTTAGGTCAAAATAACGCATTTTGTTTATGGAACGGGAGAAGAAGCAGCTCTAAAAGCAATAAATGTATTTAATCGTTTTGAAAAAGATTTGATGTCTCTTACAGACCTTCCCTTGTCAATACATGGGGTTCAAGGTTCTAGCGCGGTTTTTAGGTATACAGATGTTTTTCCACCACTTGCAACAGTTTATCGGCCTACTAAACAATTTAAAAAAATTAAAAATTGTTTAATATTGTCTAAAAATGTAACAATAGCACCTAGATATGTTAGTCCACTTGAAGTGAGTTTGCAATTATCAACTAGTGGAAAATGGCCAGATGAATTGGAAGCTTTTAGAAAAACAAAAGCTGCTTTTCACATACAAATAGCAGAATGTCTTAGAAAACAATTTATGTTAAAAACAAATGCAAATTTTTCGCATATCGATGTATATAAGGTTATTATTTTTAAATAAGAAAATATTTATTACATATCAGTAAAAAAAACAATATTAAAAAATAATGAAACTATAAAAAGAATTAATTTTTTTTCAGGACGGATTTGTATTTCGATTAAGAATATCGCATCAAAAAGAAATTAGTTGCTTGAAACAAGTAACTGAAAATGGAGTTATACAATATAAAGATAATGAAGAATCGATAGAATTAGAAAATAAATTATTTGAATTACCGAAGCTAACTAGTGCTCTGCATGGGTAAGAATGATTTATTTTAAAAAATTGATATATTTTTTATTTACATAGTAATGTCACATATTAGATTACATATTCAACAACCATCCTTTGGAGCTGCTTGTTGTTTAACGAAACGTTGGTTATCTGCTCAGCTATTGGATGATTCTCATATACCAGATATAGTAGTTGAACTACTTGTAGCTTCAATATATTTAATACCTACTCCATATAGATCTTCTCAAACACCTCAAGTAAGATTTTTAAGAGTCTTAGAAATGTTTGCTAGAGGTCATTGGAATACAGATCCTATTATTGTAAATTTCAATGATGAAATGTCTAGTAAGTAAGCGATTGATATTAAAAAAACTTTTATTCTATTATTGTATTACTATACTTATATTATTTTTATCTAATATATTTCATTTTAGAAGAAGATATAATAGCAGTGGAAACTCTTTTTGGATCATCTCGTAATTCTTTACCACCATTATTTATTTCTACTCCTTATGATCAACAAAGATCATTGTGGACTAAAAAAGCACCATCTACTTTAGTCTTAAATCGTATTACAATGCTAGCTAAACAATCTATAAAGTTATATGAAATTCAATTTTTTACAAAAGTTCTTTTAGATTTTAAACCATTATTTAGACCACCACTTACAGAATATGATTGTTTGATATATTTAAAACCACATATGATTCCTAGAAGACTACAAGCAGTTGATATCAATGATGCACATCCTATTATTGAATGGCATCCATATAAACGACATTCAGCTCAAAAGATTCCAGTTGTAGGATTTGATCCTGTGCAGTATTTTTTAAAAGATCTTAGAGTAAGTTTAAACGAAATTTCATATATAATATTAATACTTATTTACATAATATATAATATTTTTTATAATATTTTCATTTTTTAATATATTAAATGTTTTTCTTTTCCCTCCCTTTTTTTTTTAGAATGGTTATGATGAATTTGCCTTATTTTTTCATGATACTTATGGTGGTAATGTAATTGGAGTTTTATTAAAACCTTCTGCATTAGAAATTAAGGATTTTAAGATATCAAATATTAATGGCCGAAAATGTAATAATAATAATCAATTAGTTTTAAATATTTCGGCAATGATTCAAGACTTTTATGCTCTTGGAAAGGATCTCGTAGAAGCTATAGATATGCAATCAAAAAAATTTTCTTTAACTTAATATTTTTTGTTAAAAAATTAAAAAAAAAATATGTTTCATAGTATAAGCAAATTTATAATGTAAATTTTAAATCGTAACCTTTTTTATGTATATTGTTTTTAAAAATTAAAATTAATTAATTTGCTAACTAATTAATTAATTAAATTACATGAAAATAATTATTTTATATGTAATACAATAAGAATTAATAGAAAAAATCAAATAAAATATATTTATTTAAATAGATATATATATGTATATATATATATACGTATGTGTGTGTATGTGTCTGTATATATATATATATTCATGTAAAAAGGAATTGTAAATTGTATTTTATATTATATTTTATATCATATTGAGATATTTTATAGTATAATTTATATAAAAAATCATTTCATCATTAAAGATCTGATTTCATTATTTAATTTCGTAATAACCGTATCGTCAATTGTGTAACTCCCTGTTTTTAAAAGAGAATCACGTTCTTCAAGTAATGCTTGCAATCGTTCATTTTGTTCTTCTGATTTTTTTAATGTATTTTTGTTAACATTTTGTGAAATTTTGGAACTTATAGAATTTGGTGTAAATACTTGAGAATAAGCATCTTTTTCAATAAAATATGCTTTTGGCTTGATTACATCGATTTCTTTTTGAATCTCATTTAATAATATTTGATCATTTGTCAAAGCAGTAGTATCTGCACACAATATCTCTTCTAGGCTAAAAATAAAAAGAAAAAAAAATAATTAATACAAAATATTTTTTGAATGATTTCAATATTTTTGCTACATAATGCACATACTCTAAATTTTGTAATTCTTCTTTACTATTTTTAATTTGAATTTGAATAGCTTGTTGATGTTCCATTTTTATACGATGTATTTCACGAACTGCTTTTGCCCACTGTTCTTTAAAAAAAGATTTATTCTCTTGTGCATTTTGCAATTTTTCTTCAAGTGTTTTTAATTCTTGTAATAAATTTGCCGTTTGATCTTGGGTTAGAGAGCCTTTTTGATAATTTTCTAATTCTTCAGATTGTTTTGCTACAAGTGATTGTAATCTTTCATTTTCAATACTTAACTGCTCTTCTTGTACTTCTAAAGCTGTTTTTCTTTTTTCAAGAATATTTATCTATAAAGTATTAAAAATGTATAATTTAATATCGAGTAAATATTTATTTAATATAAATTTTTTTTATATTTTTTAAAAACCAACCTTTGCCATAAGTTCTTCTTGAACTATTTGAGATGATTCTTTAAGTTCTCGTAACTTCATTTCATATCTCCATTGTAAATCTTCATTTGCTTTAATTAGTCTACTTTCTTTCTCAAGACTTTTTAATCTTCGCGTTCTTAAATCTTCTGTAGCATTATTCAAACTATTTGCTAGCATTTTACATTGCTCAACACTACATGCGAGTTTTGTTTCTAAATTTTCTCTATGTTTTTGCCATTCTTGACTTAATAAATTTAAATGACGATCTTCCTTTCTTTTTAACTAAATTATTATGAAAAATATATATTTTTTTAAAATAGTTATATATTTTTTTTTCTACTATATTAAAATTTTTTACCTCAACTTTAAATATTTCCATTTGTCGTTCTTTCCAAGTCTCTAATTCATCTACTATTTTATATGCTAAAGTATCATCAAAGATTGGTGGGCCTAAATTTTCATCTAAATCGAAATAATTTATTTTATTGTTTATACTAAAAAATAAATTTATTGAAAAAACTTACTAGGAATAACTCTTTTAATCCTATAATATGGACCATGATCTTCTAAATTTAATAAAACATCCAAATTACCAATACTATTGTGTTCCATATCATACAATGGTATATCATATTGGCACTCAGGCTGAGATATATTTATTAAACTTTAACAAGTATATACAAGAATAAAATATCATACTTTTTATATTATTTTATATATTTTATATTACCTTATTTGGACAAAATAATTCTTTTGCATTAATTTTAAGTTGGGATATACAAGTCTTAGTATTTCCTTCTATTTTATATATGCTAATTTTTGGTGGAAAAGATAATAATAATTGTTTTATTTCATCTACTGCCGATATAAATTGAAATTTGCATCCTATATCTTGTAATTTTACTTTTTCTCCTAAAGAAAAGGATAATTTTAAATGAAATGTTGATGTAACTCCAGTTTTTGGATGATGAAACCTAAATTCAAGAAAAAAAATATATTTAATTGCAAGTAAAAAAAAAAATTCTTAGTAAATTAAAAAACTAATTATAATTAAATTAGCATGTAATAATTAATGATTAATACCGAATTTCCATATTTGGTATTGCTAATTTTGAAGATTTTGCTTTAATTGCTACTAATAAAATATTCAAATAATAAGAATGATAAGCTTCTACACTTTTAGAATAATTATCAATATTAGGTTGACATAGGAATGTATCAACTGAATGTGAACAAATAGCATTAACAGGTTGATCCTTTATAAAGTTATAATCTATAGTGTGTTTATTTATATTATCATATTCATTTGAAGTAGTTTGAATTCCACTAATATATTTTCCAAAATCACCAGCAGGATTTCTATGACAATCTATTTCACTATAATTCTGAAAATTACAATTACAATTAAAAATGATAAATTTTCTGATAATCTTTAATAATTTAATCGCACAATTTATTTTATAAAAAATTTATTACTTGTTTTAAATTATTTATATCCTTAGATAAAGGAATGATTAAATCATTAATCATTGCATTAGAAACATCCATTCCTACATTTGTTTTACCTACATATTGTAATTTTAACTGTAAATCAAGGTATGGATTTTTACATATTTTTTCTATTTCATTATTTTCAACAAAATTTGTTTTACATAAGTAACATCGTTGATTTAAAATACTACTACTATTTTCAGTGATTTTAAGAAATTCTTCAATATTATCAGTAGGAATTAATGATTGCAAATTTATTTCTGATTGACCTACTATATTATCTTTATATTTTAAATATATAAACAGAAACGGTTTTAATTGTAAATATTCTTTGAAAATTTTTAATGAACTTCTGATCCTTATTACAATTTTTTCATTAAGTGCCCAAAGATCTCCATATTCCTTTTTTGATTGATTAAAGTATACATCATTTTCTAATATCTTACACCAAAAATACAAATTATTTTTCATATCTGTATAATATTTCATTGGTAATAATGAATCTACATGCATTGCAGATATAGCAGTAATATTCATTAAAAATAATTCATGACAAATATTTAATGGACCTAATTGTATAAGACGTTCATCGCGAAGTAAAATTGGTGTTACTTTATTGAGTTGAACATTTGTTTGTTGACATTCTTTTAAATTTTTTAACTGTAATTTCATAATATATAATTTTATATATTATTAAACATTTACATAAGTACATATAATTTACCTCTAATTGAGCATTTCCTGTTGTATTTTCCAGATCATGAATACTTAAACCAAGAAGTAACTCAGGTTTATGTATTTTGAGTTCATTTTTCAAACCTAATAATTTATGCCAATTAGGTTTTATACTATTAGCACCCCATTTAGTAAAAACTTGAGCTGATCTTAAACTAAGTAAAAGATATCCTAATCTTTCTTTGTTGTCATTGCTTTTAACAGCAAAACATTCTAATTTTAATGGAACTTGCCCTGATCTCATCCTATAAAGTTAAAATTATATTTTAATAATAAATATTCATATTATTTTTTCATATTTTCATTATTTCATATTAAATATTATATGATACATACTTCCGTAATTTATTTTTATCTACTTCCCAAACCAAATCATGATCATATTCAGGATTTGGATTTGGTTCTATTATTTCAGTTTCTAAAGAATGTCCATTTAAAGTTGCAACAATTAATGTAGGTAGTAAGATTTGCTCAAAACCTTTGCCTAAAGTCATTAACATCAAATATTAAATTTGTTAAATTTTTTAAAATAACATTTATAAAATTTCATTCATTATAAATCATTTTTGTGGTGCAAATAATAATTATTTATCGTAATAATATTTTATGTTATTTTATACAAAGAAAATGTCATATCAAAAGGTTAACAAATAAATAATCATAAAATGTACCTTCTTTTATATTTAATACAACTCGAACATCAGAATTTGCTAATTCTTCCCCCATTGCGTCATAATATAATACATAAAAATAATTAATATAAATTCAGCAAATATTTAATAAATATTAAAGAAATCCATAAATTTCAAATCGGTTACTATGGATACGCAAGTATTTAATATAATAATATTTTTATTTATGACAAAGACTAGTTTTACAAATAACATACAAATTATACAAATTTATATAAATATATATAAAATACATTTTATTTATATATATAAAAACAATAGATTAAATTATATATAAAAATATTTGCACATATGATATTAGATTTATTAGATTTCTTTTGATTCTATTTGAAAATTTAAATAAACGCCATATTTTATTATATTTATTATCACTAAATAAATACTGACGCATAAATAACTATTTATATTGGTCTAGTAACAAATTTTAATACTAATTAATTTTTCATTTTTAAATTATTTTATTATAATTTTAAATATATATCTATAAGGAAATCTAAATATAAATAAAAAAATATTTCATCACGTAAAAAAACAATTAGAGATTATTGACACATAAAAATAGATAATTTAAAAAGATAGGTCGATAATATTGAAAACGCGGCTTTATTTCGTTTTAAGTTGGCAGCACTGCTAGCCTCGTAACAAATCTCACCCATGTCGAGTCGAGCGCGAGAGACAGGAGCGTAAGCTTGTCCGCGATCGTTTGTCCGCGTTCGACAAGTCTTTCAAATATCGTGTGTGCAATCATTAAACGGTATATCTAAAGATAATCATATTTGTATAATCAGTTTTCGAAATAAAAATTTGGGAAGACTTGGAAAGTGAAGACTGCGAAGGAACTACAGTTAATACGGGCTTGTGTGTGGGCATATAATAGCCGATCGGGCATACTGGTGACACGATTGCGGATTTTCCTTCAACAAGAAAGAACATACGAAGCTCGCAAAGTGCATGTGCTAGTGTGCGTGTCACTGGAAAGAGTTCAGAGCCGCTTCGGCGGCGCTCCCAAATCTAACCGCAGAATCGAGTCTGTGGTGGTGAGGCCGCGGCACTATCGGGGCACGATTGAGTACGATCACGATCGCACGCGGCGGGGCCGTTTGTAATGGAGGAGGTTTCCGAGTGTATTCCCGTGCGACAGAACAGTCACGGCGATGCACGCCGTATTGACTGAAACGCGATATCTATCGTTGACTATTCCTCCCGGCCGGCCGGGTGAAAGAGGCAGGTCGAAATTGGTATGGAATCGTCCAGGGTCCTCGACACGACGAACACTCTCTCCCGTCTGTGATAATTACTAGCCCCTTAAAAAGAGATAGAAGAAGGGAAAAAGAGAGAGATAGAGCTGTGTGTGTTTCGCGCGTGTTCTCATCTGCTCTCTTCATTACATTTTTAAGTGTAAACATTTCCCAAAATTCATTTCGAGGTTAGGATAGCATGGGGATTGATCCCCTGAAGGCATCGACCGACAAACCGTGACACCTGCGACTCGCCGTGTTACGGTGTGTGCGTGTGTGTGCGTGCATATGTGTATTCTCCCAGGAAGCCGCTAGAGTATTATTTTTCATCGGCGGCCATCCAAGGGAAGACCAAAGAAGAAAATATGTCAAGAATGGGGATCGATCCCCAATTAAACTCCGTGCATCGTTTACATCATTAATTCGATCCGGGACTAACATTGGCAATTTTTTATCATACAATCGATCCTTTCTGTCACGTTAAACAGACTGTCGCGGATTATTCTGCCACGACAGAGGACACTCGCACCATGCAGAAAAGAGACGGTAGAGATACACAGCTACAGCTCGCGCGTAGCTCTGAACGCGAACAGGAAACGACCAAGAGGATCTCTCGTGGTAGCGGTAATGCTACCAGATTCAACGCGTATTCCTCCAGGTACAGTGTCACCTCCTCCTCTAATGTACTCATGGTCGGTCCGAACTTCCGTGTTGGCAAGAAAATTGGCTCTGGCAACTTTGGAGAACTTCGACTTGGTAAGTTTATTTTTTTTTTTTCTTTATCTTTTTTTTGCAATAAGCATTCTTTCTTTATATTTATTTTTTTAATCTCTCAATATATATATATACTTTTATTCCGAATACGATCTTGAATACGATCATCATCATTATATTTTTTTCATTTATATCTTTCTTCTAAAAATATCTCTAGCCATGGTGATATTTGCATATCAAATAGTTTTTTTTCTATGATATATATTAAACAAAATGGAGCCATCCCATGTGTTATCGTTCATAATCAGAAAATTCTTTCTAACCTTTTCAAAAGTGTTTACGTTGCGGGAACGAATAAAACTTTGAATATTTCATTTCGATCGATCTTAAATAGAATTTAACTGATCTTATTTAATTTCATTTGCAAAGTTTTTTATCCTTTTCATTTCATAGTATTATTTACAATATATCTTTTGTCATTTATCTTATTATGATGATTTATCTTGTCGAAAAAATCAACTATAGGGATGACCATCGCGTAAATTAAGAACAATGACGTTGAATTTAAGCGTTTCAGTTATCGTCGAAGTTCGGGTCTTACGCGTGACGTAATTCTACCGTGATAAATTTATATCTTTTATCTATGCTAAGAGGGAGTGCACCGAATACAGAGATGTTTATACCAGCCATCATCTTCTCAGCAGATTTTATTACGTATTCGTTCACGAATTCCAAAATAATTGGATTTTATTGTTACAAATTAAATATATATTATTAATAATATAGGATATTATTGAAGATAAATAATTAATGCATCGAATTGTTTGTTCTTCCACGTGATTAAGATTAAATGAACTCTCTCAATAAACATTGGATTTTACCAGGTACAAATGTTTTTATATGTAAGCATGCTATGACCGATTATGTGTCAATGTTTGCAGTTCCCACCAACATCTTGTATAAATTTTTTTTTTTGCTATCTTTTGTTCGTTCACATTGGTGAGAGCTACCATTGGCTCTCACGTTGCATCGCGGTATGATAGATAGATGTAAGATTCTTGTGGTTAGTGTCGTTCGTATATATATGAATTGCGTGTTCTCACTGAAAAAAATAAAGAAGACAAAAAAATTTATTTTCCACGAATTCTATTAATTCGTGTTAATCGAATATTCTTCGCTGTAATGGAAACACTCTGGCTTGGATGGCACAAAGGCTCGTCCTCAAAGAGACCGAATTAGGTAAACCTCTAACCTACCTTCAATGGAAACTAGAATTATCGAAGTTTAGGGATTAGTGTTGAAATCTTGAAGGATCATGGTAAGCAATAGTTGTAATAGTGATTCATCATCCAAAAATTTACTATTTCTTTTTTTTTATATTTTTCAAATTTTGTTTTGGACAAATTTTCGAAACGATAACATTCTTTTTTCGTTCTTATAATATTATTACATGTAATCTATAGATTATATATTAGATTAGATTATATTTATAAATATTATATTAGATATATAATATATTAAATCTCTTTTCGATACGATCATCCGATCAATTTTATGATAAGAATGAAGCTTTTTTTGAAAGCTTGTTTCCAAAAAAGAATATTACAAAATACACAAAATTCATACTTAGACTATCTTAAATAGTATCAACTATTTAAATATTACAAAAGAGTTATACAAAAGTATAGAGTTAAATATTACAAAAGTATAGAGTTTATGTCTTAGTCAAAGTGCTTCTCGGAGCTTCAAACAAGATATTACGCGTTTAGGGGACGTAGACAAAAGGCGACTTCCGTGATTCTTTCCCTATTGTTTTTCGGAAATCACTCAGCGTTCAAACAAATACAAATGTCTTCTCTATATTATATTAGTTATGTTTACGCGTTATCTGTTGAATTATTGCCCAGCTGCGAATGGACCCTCGTGCTAACTTTATCGACGTATCGCGTACAGTTCATCGAATATATATATGAAATTAACATTTTACTGTTCGACTTTCGCGCGATACATTTTAAAGATTGTTTATCTTTTAAATTGAGATTTTTTTTTTTTAATCACTTTTATAACCGTAGCAATTTCATGACGATTTCTCATCACGAATCATTCACATAAGAAAATTCTTTGAAAAATCACAGCGATCGAATTTTATTGTTTGTGAGAAAAAGAAATAGAGCATATGTGGAAAATTTCGTATACAAAATGTAATTGAACTAAATATTCACATGAAATGATCGAAATCTGCATTCGTGAGCTGATGACATCGCGCACAGAAATGTATAATGCAAATGTTCCTTTGTCAATTTGATGAATTAGCAGATTTGATCCACATACTCGAATATATTTATTTTTTTACGGAGACTCGTTGCGATCCATGAGTTTTTTTGTTAATCCTTCTTTTAAAAAAAACTTAATTTCCAGATATATTTCTCTTACATATACTGGGAGTACGATGCGAAAATATATTGGAGGTTGAAAAATTTAGCCTCTTCTCGTGATTCATCCCTGAAAGATCAGCCACGTGTGAATCCCCATTTAGTTCTTCTGCCTCGGCGGTTCCTTAAAGTCCCTCGGCCTTGTACACGACGCTTGCATAGTCTCTTATTGTGGTTATTACTGTTCGAGGATTCCGGTTTTCACTCGTTCAACCCTTTGAAAAATCAATGTGCGTTTCGCTGGCGTTATTTAAATTTCTATTGATCAGTTGGCAGTGTGAATATATTAAACTACAGTTGGCTGTAGAACAATATAAATTCAGTTATACACGGATACATTCTTTGAAACATTTTGAAAAAGTATATTTATTTATCGTCGTAAATAATCCATAAATTATATATTATGGTCTTTGTAACAGTAGTGTCATCTATCGACGAAAAAAGATACGAAAATAGGACTTTTCATTTATTCCGTGTAATTTTTTATGCTCGTTGCAAGCGGAAACTCATAAAAACGAATTATGATTCAAGATTAAACATTAATTGAATTATTCAAATAAAAGAATTATATAAGAAATCTACAAGAATTTGGATTCACGAGCCATTAATTAACGAAATATTTAAAGATAACGATTAGTCGAAAAAAGAAATCGTGATTGTTATTAATCGAAGTTGGTAATATATCTCCGTGCAATTACGAGATGCGATGGTAATTTATGAGCGACTATAACGGCACTAGTAACGATTTAGCGACATTATCTCTTGATAAGTTAGCGCTAGCATACATATACCAGGCTGGTTTGGTTGCATTTAGAACGATGTTCGTCGAAGGCGTATGACTCATTCTTAATATTAAAGCGTTTGTCGCGTGATTACGTTCTCGTTCAATGGCTGCACTTTGCCGAACGTATCGCAACCTTGTTCCCCTGTTTTTCGTCTTTTTTTTTTTTTTTTTTTTTTTTGCTAGGTTGGATTCCAATTCGTCTCCCTCCTACCGACAAAACTTCATATCGATTTGTGCACGGGCCAAGTGGCTGATATAAATAATCCGTGATTTAGGACTTCCATAATTTATAGTCCTGCGCGGATTCAAACTGTGACCCTAATAATGCCCCGAGGAAAGTATCATCGTCCTCGTGGGGTGAATATTCACGCTCATTGGCGGAATATCTTCGAGTAGTTTGTTGGTCGATTGAAAAGCTTTTTTTCGTTCAAACGGTTTGAACGGTTGAATCGTGGGTGGGTATATCGAGATATTTTGCGGTATCGTAAAATCGTCGATTGCATCGATCGGGTTAACCGTCTGGAGTCGGCGTCGCTTTACATTCGAGTGATTTCATAGGTAGCGATAAAGGTACTACATTAATATCGTCGTTATTGTTCGCGAACATTGGTTGTCCGACTAAATCATCCAAGTGTGAAGTGTTCCTTTTCCATCGATGTCGTCGTCGAACGTCTGTGATAATCGTTCCATCATCTAACAATCGTTCGATTTATAAACTTTCTAAATTCAGATTTTGATGCTTGTTTTTTTTTTTTTTTTTTTTTTTTTAATAAATAGTCTAAAAAAAGAGACGTGTAGAACTTAATAGATTTTTTTTTAACATCGATCGATCGCATTTAAATCGAAAGACAGTCAACGATATTGTTCATTACTTTAATGCAATGGATATGCCATATCATACCAGAGATACACGCCATCAGTTTGTCCGCTATTCCATTAATACTAATTGCAGATTCGTATTTTGAATTCAACGTTGCATGCTCCGACTTCCATTGATGCATCGAACCAATGGGTATTCTTGAAAGATTAGTTCGTTGCCCGTTTCATTACAGTAGGAATAAAGTTAGCTAATAAGCACGGCGCAATCGCGTGACTATAAAAGATTTGCCGCTGTGATTATCACATCGTTGTTAAAATTTGTTTGACGAAACTAAAAATTTGTTCATTTCACCAATGAACGCACAGAGGGATCGCATTGATCCTCTTGACGCTCTTAACTGTACTCGCTCGCCGGACAATTTTCGATTTCACCGTTTTTTTCGCAATTTAGATTATTTTATTTCGTTGTAGTTGACTGATACGGTTAATTGAAGGTAAAACGCGCGTTTATGGAAAATTGTATTCATATATTCCTTTATCGAAGATAAGTTTGAGGTCGAGAAAAAAAAAAAAATAGAAAGAATATCTGTTCGTTTAGAGAAACGTTAGCCAGTCACTTTGCGCGAAACATTCGTTTATTTATTCATTTATTAGACGATTTTTCTTGAAATCGATGGAAATGCGATTCGATTGAACAATGGATTAGCCAACGTCGGGATTTGTTTTCAATTTTATCGAGTAACCGTTGCAATCGTTCACTCTCCATTTCTCACGATAATCCTACCCTCAGCCTGGTGTTTTAGATTCGCAGATAAATTAATCAGATCATTGATTTCGTTTCATCGTTTCCTTTTTTCTATCATCGTATCTCTATCGCAATGTCTTCTTTATTCTTCTATCAACTTAATAATTTTTTCATCTATAATCATTTGATTTTCAATTTTTCATCTTCTTCGAACGCGTGCGCGCGCGCGCGCGTATCTATCACGGAAGAACGAAACTCGAGT